AGTAACTTATAAGTTAAAAGTCAAAAGTCACAACTCTTATCATAACCAGAAGTCCAGACTTAAGCTTAAGAAATTTACAAATTTGACAACATTGGCGGTATTTTAGCTACAACTTTTTTTAATTAATAAATAAAAATAAAGGAGTACAGTTGGAAATCTTATGGAAAATACCTTCATCACGAACACTTGTACGGGATTAGCCAACGCTTATCATTTTTGAGTAAAGTTTCACTATGCATTTGGGAGAAATGTTTGACTATTTCAAAAATATGATATATACCCATAAGTTCTAAAAATTATTAAAAATACCTTTAAGTTTGTATTGCCATTTTATAATGAACATGTTTCATTGAAAATAATTGATAACAATCAACAACAAAAATAAATTGTTCCTTTTTTGCCATGTTTTGTATAGATAGCAGAGATGAATAGTTTTTAGTTATTAATAGTGTAATTTGGTAGATAAATATTAGTTGGAATTAATAAATGATGAGTGTGTTTTATGAAATATAAAAGTTTTGGAGTAATTTTTAAATTTTTAAAAGGGATAAGGATCTGAAAAATATCCCAACTTTGGTCGAATTTGTTGTTGCGATACTAAACTTTCATGAGGACCTATTACATAACTATACTATTTAATACCGTATTTTAAACATATATATTTGCCCATACTCAGTCTATGTTAGTTGAGTGTGTCACACGCGCGTTTTAATACATTAAATTAGTCATTTCGTTCCCAAATAATTAAATTAATTCATTAAATAAACATATTTGAAATGTCAAAAAAATGGGAAATGAATCGTCACTTCACTTCACTTCACTCTTCACTGTCACTTTGAAAATTCATTTCATTCCCAGAACTCTCTTTCACTTAGGCCAAAGAAGAACTCAAAGATAGCGTTTGAAATCGTGTTTCAAAGAAGAACTCAAAGATAGCGTTTGAAATCGTGTTTCAAAGAAGAACTCAAAGATAGCGTTTGAAATCGTGTTTCAAAGAAGAACTCAAAGATAGCGTTTGAAATCGTGTTTCAAAGAAGAACTCAAAGATAGCGTTTGAAATCGTGTTTCAAAGAAGAACTCAAAGATAGCGTTTGAAATCGTGTTTCAAAGAAGAACTCAAAGATAGCGTTTGAAATCGTGTTTCAAAGAAGAACTCAAAGATAGCGTTTGAAATCGTGTTTCAAAGAAGAACTCAAAGATAGTTGAAATCGTGTTTGTTGATACCGTTTGTTGATAGTGTTTGTTGATAGCGTTTGTTGAAATTGTGGCAGTAAATATTCCTGAACTGAACTGAAATTAGTAGTTCTTGAAGGTTAGTCCTTTGGATCATCTTTATCAAAACAAATGCTATTCAAATCCAATTTTACGTCTTTCATGGATAACCCTAACAAAAAAAAATTAGAAATCAGAGAAAAGAAATTAGATGCCCTAAAGAACAATAGAACAAATAAGATCAAGAAAAAAAATCTGAAATTAAAGAAAATAATTTGCTTAATAGAAAGCTTACCTGGCCCTTCAATGGTGATCTTTTGGATCTGTATTACAGCGAAAGAGAAGGGTGTAAATTGAATTTGAATTATAGGTAAAAAGAAATAGATATAATTTAATCCCTGTATTGATACGTGGCATTTAATGATTGGCGTAAAAAAATTTATCTGGTGCCATACGCGCCTATGCGTCGTGTTTTCACGCACTTGACCAGATGGGAAAATATATATGTTTAAAATACGGTATTAAATAGTCTAGGTATGTAATAGGTCCTCATGAAAGTTTAGTATCGCAACAACAAATTCGACCAAAGTTGGGTATTTTTCAGACCCTTATCTCTTTTTAAAAAGGTCAATTTACATAAATAATATACGATATAACTTTATTTATGAATTATGACATATCTTTTACTCTACACATATTAGCCTTACTTTTCTTACCACAAATAGCCTCAACAAACAGGGCCACCAGTAGCAGAGCTAGGATTTTCAATAAAGAATTCAAAATATGAAGAAATAGACACACAAAGTAGCTGAAGAAGGTTCGACATCTATTATATATATCTAAAAAATTATCTTAACCATGTATAAATAATATAATTTTCCGCCGAAGGAAATTCGGATGAACCCCTAACTATAAGGTGGCTCCGCCACCGAGGGCACTATCACTGCTAGTTCCTCTTCCGCACAACTACAAGTGGCCATGTTTATACTAAAAATAATATCAACATATCTTAAAAGTAAATGTCCAATTCATTTTAAAAATATAATACATTTTTGACATATCTTTAAAATAATAATTCTAATTATATTAAAATAACATTTGAAATTTAGATATAGTACATTTTTAACATCGCTAATAAGAGAAAAAACATATATAACAATTGTAAGAGATTAACTTCTCTCTACTGACAGTGAATACGAAAATTACACCTTTAGTTCATTTTTTAAAATACTTATTTCTTTTAATATGTTCACATATTATTAATATTAAATAAAAATAACAAAAAAAAAATTATATGGTAACTTAAACTCTAAATTAATTATATGAGTTTGTTTAGGATTCTTATTTGATGGTCAAGAATTGTTTAACCACTTTCTTGTCTTCGTTTATCACATCGTTCTCCCTCAACATCATTGAAGCAATTTGAGACAATCATCAAGACAATTTGAGACAATCATCAAGTAACTTTTTACTCTTTTTTTCTTCTTTTTAAAATCTAGACTAATTAATCTCATAAAATAATTATTCGTAACTTATTAAGTTGTCTTCTCAACATGATTTTATTTCTTTGGATAGGTGTTTCTATTGCTTCAAACTATATTTTATCTTCTTAGTTCATTCAATCAACAATACAAAAATTAATTAAAAAATACTTTAATTCATATATTATCATATGTACTCCAATTTAAATAATACTCAAATTCGATAGTATAAAAAATATTTGAACGTTCTTTCAAAAAAAAAATCTTAGATTTGTAAAACTTGTTTTAAAACATAAAAAATAAAAAGAAAAAGAGAAGCTGAAAAATCATTAATCTTTAAATGTAATACATTTTGAATTCAATATTTTCCTAGATATAGGATATTATAGGCATGTTTCAATGCACATGGTGAATATATAACTAAAACATTTTTAGTTCAAAATAATACATTTTGAATTCAATACATTACACACATTATATGCACTGTTCAACGCACATTGTGAATATATAACTAAAATATTTTTAATACAATAATATATTTTAACACCGTTAATTAGAGAAAAAAATAACAATTGTAATACATTTGAATTCAATATATAATACATACTATATGCATGTTTCAATGCACGTGTTGAATATATAACTAAAACATTTTTAATACAAATGTATTATAAGTATTATGTATGAGTTTTAAATATTTTGATACAATTTAAATTAATTTACGTTGTTAAAAATGTATTATATTTGTTGGAATAACAACAATCAAATTTATAACAATGTATAATATTGAATTCAAATTGTATTACAACTATAGTTTATATAATAACACATAAACTAATTTGAATAACTTTTAAATATTTGAAATTCAAGTATAATATTTTTTTAATATCATTTAATAAGAGAAAAAAATAAACAATAATTATAATACATTTTGAATTCAATACTTGATACAATTAGCGTATATATATACCCTAATGGTATATGTGCAACACCATTTCTCAAATTTTTGGCAAAAATTATTTGGGTGAAATTTCACCATGTGTTTGGCCATAGTATTTGGAAAACATATTTCACTTTTTTAGAAAAAAATATGATTATACCCATAAGTTTTAAAACTTATCAAAACTAACTATAAGTTTGTATTACAAGTCAATTGGATCTTCGTTGCAACAAATAACAAGTATTGTCCATAACACTGGAGCAATGTGGTAGTTTAGAGTGAGTGCTACAAGCATCTTTCTATATATCGTGAAGTAGACAAAGCACATGACTTTGTTACCCTGGGCCGATTGTTCGTTATTTTCATCAACAACCATATCATATCTTTCATATTCATTGAATATTTCATCACTACTTTGGTGTTCACGTAAAAAATTATATAATACAGTGCAAACAACTACTATAGAGGGTGTTTTTGTAAAACATAAAAGTTTGGTGTAAAATTTGAATTTTGAAAAGATCACAAATAATGAGATTTGGCCCAGATATAAAAAAAAACTAGTATTTGTGAATTTGGGTTATTTGCCAAAAATATCTGTCAAATAATGACAAATTGTATGGACAAACAGTATTTGCCAAATTTCCCCCCAAAATTTACTTGGGAAATCTATGGTTAGTATTTGGACCAAGTTCTAATATTTGAAAAGGATAAATTTGACCCACAAGTTTATATTTTGATAAAAACAACCTCACATATATATCTACTAACCATTTACTTCATACGTAAATAAAATTTATAATTCATACCATTACTTTTAATATCATTTATATCTCATATAATGACTATTTTCACTAATATAGAATTTATTATTATTACTTCAAATCAATTCTACTTTACCATTTATAATATCCAACAAACTCATTATTTTTTATCAAATATATTTACCAGTCAAATGGCTCAAAGTAACAATGTTGGTTTGTCTTCTCAATCATATGAACGGAAAATGCAAGTTCAACGTGAGAAGATTGTCCGTACTATATGTGAGGAAAATATTAAAGATTAGTACACCATACAATTTATCTTTAGTTTTTTTTATTGAACTAAAATTTGATCAATAAATATTGTATTTTTTAATAATATCTCGGTGATAGTGTATTAAGCAATTTAATAAACTTGTGTTTATTTGGTAAAATTATATAAAAAATTGAGATAATTTTTATAGTTTTGTAACTTATAAATTTTTTATGTTTATGAAAAAATATATAATATAAAAAATTTAAATTACATGTTTAAACAAAAGTTCAGTTTCAATCATATATGATAAAAGATAATAATAGCGGAGGGGATCTAAATCAGTGAGAGCAGGAGATATATTCCAATAACTGGTAAACTACATACATGAGCAAGAGCATTGGCACTGAAACTTTTTATATTATATGTTTAAATGGCATGTTCAAACATACAAGGATTATTAGTGCTGCTATGTATAGCTAAAGGTAGTAAAGTAGTCTCTTGTGATTCATAAAATTAGGCATTTTCAGCACCTACTCTGTTTCTACAATGCTCTCTCGTTTTATCTCCAAATCCTTACATCTCCGACTGTTCATCCTACTTTCCCCCAAAACCCATGTCTTAAACCCTAAACCCATTTCCCCTAAACCCTCATTTCCACATTTCTTACCCAACAACTCCTGTTTCTTCTCCACAGGTAACAACAACGGCAAAGATTCGGACCATGAGGGAATAGAAAGCCAAGTTCTTGATGATGGGTCTTGGGCAAAAGAACAAGGGTATAAACCTTGGAGTTTTGATGTAGAGGGGGAAGAAGAACGACTGTTTGATGTTGGAGAAGAGGTTAGGGTAGGAGCTGAAATGAAGGGGTTTAAAGTTGAGAAAAAGTTTCTTGAATTGGAAGAGAAAGCTCTTTATGAGGTTCTTAAAGGTAGTTTTTCTTAAAGCTTATTTCAGATTGTTTTACCCTAAAAGGTGCAATTTTTTACTTCCTATTTTTCATCTTAGAACACTGTAAAAGATTTGTGCTTTATGGTTTGGTTGTAAAGTCTTGTATGTTTACTCCCATTTGTTTCATAAAAGGTGCACTATTCGTTGAGTGGTGAGTGGCGACTAGCCTAAATTGTCATGCTCCAAACTTGATAGGTCAGCAGCCTACTTAGGTAAACATGTTATTTTTATGTTTCCTGTTTAGCTTAACCAAGAACATTTCTTGCCCCAAGTTAAAGACATTAACAAACATGGTTAATCGTGAAGATAAGTTCAATATCATTCTGCATTATTCTGACGTTCATACTTGAAACAGTACATATTATGACAAAGTTTAGCTAAAAAGAGATTAGATTCCAGAGAGTGTAAATGCTATTTGCTCAAACCTTATGGTCTAAGTTAAAATAATACATTCTGCAGTTCTTGTGTAGCCACCCGTGTTTAGGGAGAATTCACCCATTGTGGCCACCTAAGCTTTCTCCTAGCAGCAGTAGAGTAAAGGAGTAAACGAATTTTTTTTTGAGTAAAAAGTTGCAATGTTGAACTCACAATGCTTGACATGACTCAATTCCCAGTCTTTTCTGCATCAGCCAGGCAATAGCTAAAATGGTGAACACTTTTCTTTACCTCACTCGTTCAAGTTGGTATTCTCCAGTCACATCATTTCACGCTATTCCTTCAGAAATGTCCAATTCAGCTTAGTAAAAGATGTTTCATTCAGAACCACCTAAAGGTCTTCCTTTGGCCAATTTTCCTTTTGGATCTCGTTCAAAATGGAATATTGATTCATCCATTATTCAAAAGAGCCCTTCTTTTAATAATATCTAGTGTGGATATTTCCAAACAGCCATTTTGATTGATTCCCAATTTGTAGCCTGTAGGAAATAATCTTTCATAGTGCATACATTTATGCAGTATTGTAGACCAAGGTGCTTAATTTCTTGTTATATTTTATTTTGTTTGGGCCATCGTTGTGGAACCCTTGCTCTAGATGTTTGTGTTCAACCTCCAACTATGTTTTCTTGTGATAATGAAAATTTTGAGAACGTGGCAGGTTCTTGTACGGATGAATTGACAATCAAAAAGAGTACAAAGCCCTCGGCAAGTGTGTATTCAGAAGAAATTTTGGAAATAATTGAGATAATCAAGGGTGGTGGGGAGGATTTGAGGCAACAGTTAATTTTGGTGGCTTCAAAACTATCATTCAAGTGCGTCATAGGGATTTTTGACCTTTTGAATGAACAAAGAATATCTGGATTGAATTTCTTTAATTGGCTTCGGGACTCACATCCTGAATTTCACTGCAGTGCTTATGTCAATAGTCTGATTATTTGTAATTGTGGATGGTTAGATGACTATAAAACAATGTTCTCTTTGTTGGAGGAGTTTAAGGCTGAACAAACTTGTTTAACTGACAAGGCTTTTGGGTTCTTAACTGTATTTGGATCTTGTAAGGATTCATTGATGAATTCGACTAAGAAAGTGGTTGATATGCTAAATGAGGTTGGAGGATCCTGCTGTGGTTCTGGTGTTCACGGATTAATCGAGATGTATTGTTGTTTGGACTTGTTCGAAATGGCAACATTTGTAATAGAGATCACTGAAAGAACAGCTTCTCGCTACAATATTTTGATCCGTAAAAGGTGTCGGGCTGGCCAAATTGAAAAAGCACGAGCAATTATCAAAGAGATGTCTGAATTTGGCTGTTCTCCTAATACCAAGTCATATAACTACCTGCTTGGTTCATTGTGTAAGAATGATAAGCTGGAATATGTGCGTATTGTGCTCGAAGAAATGAGAAATAAGGGTCTCAATCCAGATGCAATTACTTTTGAAACTTTAGTATATCATTCATCTAGTCGTGGTCAGGTTGAGTTTGCCTCTGAATTTATGAATTTGATGATAAATGTGAATGTGGAACCACGTTCTACTACTCATGCTGCATTTCTTAAAGTTTTGCTTGAAGCAGGAGAGCGTGAGAAAGCATATAAGTATGTGATTGACATGAGTGCCAAGTATAACCACTGTGGAAATACACTATACAGCTTGCTTGTGAGGCTTAATCAGAAGAAAGGAGACATTATGGCTGCTCAAAACATTCTCAGTGAAATGATTGACAAGGGTCTCAAGCCGGACTTTGGAATTTTCATCAAAATTGTAAAGCAGCTCGGGAAGACTAGAAAGAAAAGTTTAGCTCGAGATCTTAGGATGAAATACTCGGTTTTCTATTGTAGTACAAAAGCTAACAATTCTTTATCCAATTCGTTTATCCCATGCCAAGGTTGAATGCATCTCTCTAGCTGGTTTGTCTGCAGAAGAAAGATTAGGAGTGTGCATTATTTGATTTTAACCGAAAAGGTGACTAAGAATATTTTAGTTGTAAGTTCCTGTTTCACTTTTTGCTCTGCATACAATGCCCCTCTTAGTTTTTCTACTTCAATCCTATATCAGCTTTCCAGTTTGTCTTCACGGTGTCACCTTCAACCTTCGTTGCCGCTGCCGTTGACATTGTCTCGCCTGACGCCTCTCCTCAGCCTCCACCAACATCACCTATGTTACATCTCCCAAGGTTTGATTTTCTCTTTATTGTCAACTTCAGCTCCCTGGATTTTTTGCTAATAATCAGTTTTTCGTATCTATATTGTGCAATTTTGTTGCTCAAGTATTTTTCTTCACCTTCTTGCCTCTGGGGTTTCCACTTACCATCCACTTATTTGTTGAATGTATATGTGCATCGATATACATCTAAGGCCAAGAAACCTAATTAATCACATAGGGATACAGAGGAAATAAGAACACAACGTGTCTAGCAATATTGCTGGTCAGGTTGTTTCTTTTTGCAAAGGTGAACTCTTTGTTCCTGTCTTATGTAAATTTATCTATGTTCTGCCTCTTTTTCTTTTTTTTCCTTTTGTTTTTTATCTGGGGCAGGCGGACATGGTTTCCTTATTATGATTTGAGTGGCCTCTGTTTTCAGTTTTATTTATATTTTTGGAGTATCCTGATTATGATTGATTGATTGTCCATGCTCAGATGTAAGGAAATGGTTAAATTTGCCTTATCATTTGAAATTATTTCCAATGTGGAATACTTCTTTTTAATTTTTATGCTTCCTTGTTTGCGGCACCCTTGATTCTTAAACTGTGTAGTTTATAATATACAAAAAGTAATCGTGTTTTGTGTCTGTGTTGGGGCGGGGGGTGATTGTAGCCCAGTTGGTCTGGCTACCTGAACTGCCACCTTATTTGTGGGGGTTCAATTCCCCACCTTGTAATCCCCCC